TCACCATCAAGATCTCGGCCCAGGGGTGCAAGGTGTTCTCCAGGCGCGATCGCCAGACAGTGCTTCGCCCAGTCGACCTGGGGCGCATGCTGGTGGCCTCCCTGCGCATCGACATGGCCCCCGGTGAGCGAGCGCTGACGGTCAAGGCGCCGCCGGTCGACATGGAGTTGCTCCATCGTCGGCTAGGGCACATCAGCGAACGGCGCGTCCGCGCGTCAACTGGCGCGGCCGAGATCGTCACGCGCGGAGACAGCGTCGAGCAGTGCGAAGTGTGCATCCGCGCGAAGCAAACACGGGCACCCATCGGTGCTGGTCCAACTCAGCGCGCCGAAACCGTCATGGAGCTTGTACACTCCGATCTCTGCGGGCCACTTGCTGAAACGCCAGGCGGCCGTCGCTACTTCGTGTCGTTCATCGACGACTATACGAGGTACACATGAGTGTACCTCATCAGGGCCAAGACCGGCCTCACGTCGGCGTTCGACGACTACCTCCGAGCCGCGCCCGGTGGACGCAAGTGTCGGTACCTGCGCTCCGACCAAGGCGGCGAGTACATGGGGCGCAAGTTCCAGGACCTCCTACGCGCGAACGGCGTCACCCACGTCCCCGTCTCATCGCACGCGCCCGAACTCAACGGAGTCGCCGAGCGGTTCAACCGCACGGCGCTCACCATGGTTCGAGCCTACCTCGCCGAGTCCAGCGTCAAGGAGGAGCTCTGGGGCGAGGCCCTCTACACGGCCGTCCACGTGCTCAACCGCACGTGCGACGCCACGACCGTGCAGACACCGTTCGAGCGCTGGTTCGGCAAGCCAGCCACACTCGTGCATGTACGCGTGTTCGGCTGCCGAGCTTTCGCCCTCGACCACCGCGACAAGCGCTCCAAGCTGGGCAGCCAAGCCCGCGCGGCCACGTATCTCGGCCCAGCAAGTGAGCACAACCACACCCACCGGCTCCTCCTCGACGACACCGAGAAGGTGATCATCACACGCGACGTTATATTTCAAGAGCGAGTCATGCCTGCCAAGCGCGTGGCGACCCCGCCCGGCTCGGAGACCGTCGACAACGGTGAGCGGCACATCAAGCCACCCAACGTCCGCCTGTACAAGGTGCCGCCCACCACGAAGGGCATCCGAGCTGCCAAGAAGACGGGCCGTGGCCGCATCGATCTCCACGACGGTGCGATCGGTGCCAACCGTGTCGACTTAGCACAGCAAGACGACACGGTTGACACTGATCACACCCGCGCGACCAGGCAACGTTTCGACGCCCTGCGTGAGCTCTCCCGTCTGGGAGATCCTCCTGATGACGTCGACATGCCGGATCTCTATGATCCCGATCTCCGCCGTGCACTCACCACGGACTCGAGGGGCGACACTGAGATCAACCCCGCTCCGAATGCACCCCGTCGATCGCAACGGACACGCACACCCAACGTGCGTCTTCAGGAGCTCGCCTCCATCGCCAGCGAAGCCCCCAAGACACCGAACAGTTACAAAGACGCGCTCGCCTCGCCCGATGCCGCTCGTTGGCAGAAGGCGATGCAGGAGGAATTCGAAGCGCTCATGCGCAATGGGACCTACGTCCTGGTCCCGCTTCTGCAGGGGCGCAAGCCCATCGGCGCCCGATGGCTGTACAAGGTCAAACTACACGCCGACGGCTCGATCGACCGCTACAAGGCCAGGTGGGTAGCCAAGGGCTTCACCCAACGCTTCAGGCATTGACTATGACAGCACCTTCTCTCCTGTCGTATACGGATCGAGAACCTCCGGTTGCTACTCGCCTTCGCGAACGCACGCAACCTCGAGATCCACCAGGTTGACGTCGACACGGCGTTTCTCCACGCCAAGCTCACCGAGGAGATTTACATCTCCCAGCCCGAGGGGTTCGTTAACAAGCAACGACCCCACCACGTCGGACGACTGCTGAAGAGCCTCTATGGGCTTAAGCAGGTGCTGCTCGAGTGGAACCGTGCCATTGATGCCCATCTGCGCAAGTCCCACTTTGAACCCACTGACTTGGACCTGTGCATCTACATTTGTCAAGGCCACCACTTGGCCATCGTCGCACTCTACGTTGACGACTGCACCATCATCGCTCACAAGTCCAAGCTCAGGGGCGTCAAGCATATCATCGCCTACGGCTTCCCGATCAAGGACCTCGGAGAAGCAACCTCTGTCCTAGGGATCGAGATCCAGCATGATCAATCACTTGGCAAGCTCTACATCTGACAGTGCGGCAAGATTGACAACATCCTCGCCACCTTTGGACTCACCAACAGCAAGCTGGTCTCCACGCTGATGCTGCTGAACCTACAGCTGCCAGTCGACACCAAGCAACATGACACCTTTGAATACCACAGCGCCATTGGCATGCTGTTGTATCTGGCACATGCCTCGTGACTGGACATTCTCTTCCCTGTTGTGTACCTCAGCTGCTTCGCCAACAACTTTGGCCCTGAACATGTCACCGCCGTCAAGCGCATCATGCGCTACCTCGCTGGCACAGCCAACCTGGCGATCTGCTACTCGCGCGACCTCTACGACAACAGGGACGTCGCAACCCACGTACCTATTGGGTACTGCAATGCTGACTGGGGCAACATTGAAGTCAACCACCGATCGGTCTCCAGCGTCATCTTCATCTTCTGCAGAGGCACCATCTCATGGAGTGTCAAGACACAGAAATGCGTCGTGCTCTCCTCCACTGAAGCTGAGCTCAACGCCATCTCTGAGGCAATGCGCCAGGCACTCTATGTGCGCAAGCATCTGCTGGCCCTTGGAGTTGACACCCAACAACCACTCTCTCTCTTCAATGACAACCAGAGCACACTGGCCATTGTTGACATCTTGTCTGGCACCTACCACAGCTGCATGAAACATTACAACATCAAACTCATGCACCTGTGTGACATGACCAGTTGAGGTCAAGTCTGCTATGGCTACTGCCTGACTGATGACATGCCCGCCGACGTTCTCACCAAGGCACTTGGCTGCGTCAAGCTTGTTCACCACTGCCAATGCATGGGGCTGATTGAGTGACCCGCCGTGTGAGGGGTGTGTTTGGACTTGAACTGGTGACGTCCTGTCAGACCTGTCCAGTTGGTCAAGTTGCTCATGTTGAACAATGGTCAACTCTGAACTCCCTCCTGTTGCTCAAAGACCTGAGCTGACTGACCAATTAGAATGGACCATAGAACCCTTTAAAAGAACACTGCGTTCTTCTGTTTATTTCATCCCTTCTTTCTCTCTTCTCAAATACATCTCTTCTACCACTACGCCACTACACATAATCCTGCTGCAACATAGACATCATATCTGCACTCAAGCAGGTGCATCAGTGCAATGATGACAATCCACAAGGCGTCAAAGAGGTCAATGTCCTGCAGCACAAGGCAGAGGAGGTATCTTGACTCAGCAATCTCCATTTCATCCATCAACACATTGGTGAAGGACATGTAGATCCTGACAACGCTTTGGTTTCTCAATCTACTTTGCTTGAACACATTGATATAAAAAATGGGAAGGATGAGCTGGCAGTCCTTCCGCCTTCGCCCTTGCATGTGGGCCCTGCTCCACATGTAACTTAAGACAAACATGAAGTTAGTAAGTTAGTATTGAGGGTTTTTGTGGGGTGTCATACTGTTCACACTGCTCAAATTGTTTGCAGTTGCACAGGTGCTTGAGCCTTGCACTCCATTTGAAACAGAAGTGCTTGTTGCTCAAGTCTACCTTGAGCTTGTAGTGATTGTGGATCACATTGGTTGGGGACACAAAGTCAAGCGTCCCCTGACTGATGTGAGCCTGACACTGTGCAACTGGTGGGTACATCATCTGCACACAAGTCAATCACTGAAAATGACAAAAACAACAAAAATAATGTTGTTCATGGTGTACCTGACCAGCCTTGCTCAGCACATGGACGCTCTCAGCAATCATCCCAAAACAGAACAGTGGATTCCAATGCATACAAAGCAGGTCCTCCATCACGCACTCAGTGGTGTCATTGCACTGCATGTGCTTGTAGAGCGCCTTGTTCTTCAGGTCCACTATTGCACACTCTACAGCTCCCTGTCTTTGTGCTACACACCTGTGACGTGCCTATGTTTTAGAAGTGAACATAGGAGGTCAGTAAGAATAAAGGTAATAACAACAGCAAATGTACTGGAGGCAGATTGTGTTCATTAAGCTCTTCCTCCATCACTGGACCCATCAGGTCCTCTGGAATGTGTGCATCATCATCATCATTGGCCCTCTCAGTGTTGATGGCCACCATGGCCACGATCGCCTCGTCTTCCATTTGCTCATCGTCCTCGTCCTCCAGCTCGTCTCCTTGTGTGTCCTCAACATCATTTATTGTTTCTTTGCTCTCACTCTCAACCTTGACCTCACTCTCAACCTCAACCTCACTCTCAACCTCGCTCTCACTTCTATCAACCTTCTCTTCCTCGCTGTAGCTGAAAACTCTGTCACACTTGTTGTTGTTGCCTTTGTCTCCCTCATTGCTGGCCTGGTGCTTTCACTTGAGTGATTGCTGTTCTGTGGCCAGCTTCTCATTTGCGCCTGTTAACAAAAGTGTTTACATTAGCTCACAAAGAGCAAAGAGCAAAAGCAAGCAAGCATACACTTCTCTCTGGCCGCCCTGGCATGGCGTTCAGATTGTTCATGCTGCTGGCCTTGATGCAAGATCCAAATCTCACAATCAGTGCACCACTTCCACCCATTCATCACCATACCTGTCCCCCCCAATGCAAACAACTGTTTATTGGAGATTGTGTGAGGGGAGCAAACCAAAGAGCAGGCTGAGCAGATCGTGGCCACTGAAGAAGAGTGCATTGGTCATCTTGAAGTAGCATGTGGGACAAAAGAGCTCCATATCTCCTGTCCCCACAACACAACTGAGAAGAAGGAATTGTAAGATGTACAAAACAAGAGGATATGACAGGGAGGATGCTGTCTCTTGATGAAGCTGTAGGCTTTGTTGAAGTAGGTGATTGTCCTTGAGCACCAATAAACAGTGCACCTTGTGTAGAGGATTTGGCTGCTTGGCTTGAACATGATGAGGCGATCAATGCACTCATTGAAGCACCAATGAATGAGCTCCTTGGGGCTGTCATTGATGGTGAAGGCAAGTGCCTTGGTGTTTGGACTGTCACCAAACAGAACAAGCCCCTTGTAGCCACCAAGCACGTGTGTTGTGTGTGTGAGAATCATCTCAGTGTTGAGTCCATGTGCCTCCTGTGTACAAAATATGTAAAGGAGGAGCATCAGGCGCACAAGTAAAGAGCAAAGAAAGGAAGGTACCATGAGGAGGCTGGCAGCCTCAGCAACCACCTCACCTTCTTCTTTCTCTTCTTTCTCTTCTTCCATGTGTGTCTCATATTCACTGCTGTACTGGTCTTGTGCACTACACAAAAACAAATTGAGATGAGAAAGGAGATTTACATACAACATGTACCTCAAGGCAAGCATCATCAACATAGAGCTTGCCTCATACTTGTCATGAGCAATCTTCCTTTGCATCTCCTCCTTCATCTGCTTCTGCTTGTATCTAAGCAGATGAAGGAAGGGGTGTAAAGGAAGTGAGTAGGCGCAAAAAACATAACAGGAAGCAGGAGGCACGATTACCTCCTGCAATAGTACATCAAGAAGATTTGAAAAAGGAGCACATGCTCCTTGTCCAGGTTGAAGGCAAAGTCTATCTGGTGTGCAAAGAGCTGGTGGTAGAAGTTGTTGATCATGCCATCCAGGTTGTTTGTGTAGGCATGGTCTTCAAAGCCCTTGTGCATGTTGTTAAACAACCACATGCAGATAACAGCAATGAAGTACCATTCTTCATGATTGCCAAAGTAGAGATGTTGATCATTGATGTCAACAATGTCTTGTCAGTCTACACAAAGATTCGGTGGGTACACCTGCAGTGACAACATGACATCAGTAGATTAGCAACATGATCACACAATCACACATACCATCTTGAGGCCGCGCCATTGCACTATGTCCTTGCATATTTGCTTCCACTTGTTTTTACCTGTGTAATGATGCAGCCTCCTCTCACAATTGGCCCTTGAGGGCGTTAGAAATCAAGTAAATGGGAAAGGTGGATTGATGTATGGTGATGGGCATGGCTTGTGTTTCTTCCATGATCACCTCTTGCGCTCCTTGGGGTTATGATATTGGGCAATGCTGCTGTACCTGCATGGATTGCATGATTAACCCATTGGGGAGAGTGATGGGAAGGAAATGTACTCCATTTTCGGGCATTGCAGCTTGGCCACTGGAGAAAGGCAAGATTAGCAAAATTAACAGCTAATTGAAAGTGATTAATGCATGTACTTGTTGAATCATGCACTCAATCATCTGTGGCACACAAATCAAGGCACAGAAGGGCCTGCTCTGTTTTATTTAATTGAAGGGCAAAGCTCTCCCTGCCTCTTGAAGAGCCCTACATGCATGGCGTCACCGAGGGTGGTAAGGAAAAGAAGCTCAGCGTGTCACAGGCTGCTTTCTGCAGCAACTTCTTGTCAACAAAGGAGCATTCCTCAAATGACTCACACCAAGCAGTGATTTTATACAGTCAAAAGTAAATATTCCAAACAGCCTGCTGAGCACCTTCCCACCATCCACAGAAAAGGCCAGCCACAGCTCATTGACAAGATCAGTATTCCACTCCCACCCAATCAGTGGAGTAGCGGCAGCACAAGTCTTCCTCCTCCTTCCTCCTGGCGAGTACATCTTCGCCGCCAACCGCTTACCCATGATCATGAAGAAGAACACCTTCAGTACCCAATCTCACTCAAACAACCATTCAATTTCTAATATTAATTTTCTGTTTCACTAATCAGGCAACATACAGGGTTCAGCAAAGGGATTGTTGTCCAATCTGAGGAATGGAGGTGTGTTTCACTTTCATTTACTCAACACAGTAGAAATTCCTTCTATGTGATTTCTAATTTTACTTTATTTAATCTTGCTTGTGGAAAATCAATCAACCAATGCAACAGCTACAGCAAGGGCCCCATCCACAGTCACCAACAAAGGTTTGCTTTCATTGTTTTTTCCTGTTATTGTTTTCATAATCAATCACAAAGATTTACACATTCCACACAAAGAGGTTCTTGCTTTTTCCAAGGCCTTGGTGACAGGCCTGGACAAGCTGTGGAAGGGCCAAGAGGAGACCCATCAGCTGCTAATCAACCTGATCACCAAGGTCAATTTGCAGCACAGCATGGAGCAGGACAACGTCACCAACCTGGTGCAAGTCGAAGTCGCCTGTGTCTACTTTGACATTGTGAAGGTCAAGCAAGGCGATGGCAACAAGCTCCAACTTGAATTCATCAAGTGGGTTGAGGAGAAGGAAAAAGTGAAGCTATTGGCCAGTGTGAAGAATTGGATCAGCAAGAGCTTTGTTCCAGTGGTATGGTTGTTAGTAGTGTTTGGTTTTAGTTGTAGTTACTGAGCTGTTTTCTCTTCAGGTGTGCAAGTGATGGAAGCCAGTCACCAAGTCACTGAAGTTGCTGCTCACACATGCATTTGAAAAGCTGAAGCCAGCAAAGAAGCCAGCTGAGTTCAAGGTGAAAGTTGCAGGTACACAACCTTTCATGTGCTTTAACCTGTTTATTTACTGACTTCCTGCATGTGCAGTTGATAAACAATTCAGGGATACACTCATTCAAACAGCCTTCAGAATGGTGAATGAGTGGGTGTTTGAGGACCCCTTGCGTCCTCCCACTGAGCCTGGCCATTCGAAGTGATTGGTCATGTGGTGGAGGGACATGAACCTGGCCAAAGCATGCTCAGCCAAGCCTGGAAGCAAAGCAGTGAGTCTCTTTAAGTATGTCAACTCGCCCCAGGCACATGCAGTACGTTAGCACATAACACACACAAACACTTAGCGCATAACGCACACAACTTCATTCTCATCTTTTCTTGCAGGCTGCAAAGAAAAAGGCAAAGAAGAAAGAGTTCAAAGAATGGGACAGCGAACAGGACGGTGAACGGGATGGTGAACAGGACGGTGAACGGGACGGTGAATGGGACAGCAAACGGGACGGCGAACAGGACGGTGAACAGGACGGTGAATGGGACGGCGAATGGGATGGCAAACAGGATGGTGAATGGGATGGTGAACAAGATGAGAAGTGAGATACGACAAGTTTATTTGATGGTATCAAGGTATTTTCCATATCATCATTCCTCTTACATATTTACTAACATTTGAAGTTGCAGGTGGATTTCAACCAGCGCAACATGCCTCATGTTCATAGCAAAGATGATGACAACAGCAACAAGGATGACAACAACAATATCAATAACAAGTACAATGACGATGATGGCGATGATGGTGATGGTGACAGCAAGGAAGCCAGCCAACCAGACACTCACCCAGAGGACGTTGCATTGCCACCAGCAAGAGTTGCTTGTGGCAACACAAGTTCACTGGTACGTTATTTCGCTATTTCTTTCCTCCAATTGAATGCTTTATTGACATAAACGTTTAGTCCACTCTGCAGGTTGTTATGAAGAACTCCTGTGGAGTTAAGCATACAGGCCCAAGCATGTATGACGTGGTGCCGAAGAAGATGTGCACCAAGTTGGCCTCCAGTGGCTCTTGCGAGGATTTGGAGGACCTGGAATCTTCGCTTTGCAGCCAACTGGTGGCATGGCTAGTGTTGCCAGAGGGCTTGCTGCTGTTGTGTAAGCGCAAGTGTGATTTGTTGGTCGACGCTGAGACCACGATGCGACCCCAGCCTCCGGCTGATGCTGTTCTTTGTATGAAAAAACAATGAACTATGTCTGCATTGACCCAGGAGCGGTCGACTCAAGGGGATGACCAGGCCATGAGTGCTGCAAAGCAACTTGTGCGCCTGGCCAATATGCAGCCCAGCACCCAGCAGCCTTGCCAAGATCTGGATGAGCTGACTGAGGCTGAGATTGACTCAGTCTGCAAGCACTCAGCCCCTAGGAAGAGTGGGTGGAAGTGGGTGCTGACTGAATGCACACTCAAACACGCCCAGCAATCACCTGCCCCTGCCCACATCAATGACAGTACATCTTTCTTTGCTTCATATCTCATTGAATTCATCACTCACAGTTCCTCTGCAATTGTAGTAAATTGCAAATGGTTAGTCTCACTCACAAGCTCTGGGCTTCCTTGGAATGGCATCACATGTCACCCAGCAGACCTGAAGGTGGTTGATGGGGACAAGCTCTGCCAGTGGATTAGCAATCTGCCCGCCTGGGCTGTTCCTCCGCCTGCAGCCCTAGAGGCTGTGATCAGATCTGTAATGGGCGTGGACGACTTAGAGTGGGACCCCATGGCGAATGGAACCATTGCGCTCAAGTTCGATACGGAGCAAGTCTGGATGGCCCGCCGGAACATCAAGATCTACATCGCCTACAGGCCTAGTACGCCAACGCCACAGTACATGCGTATTCACTAACTCTGCGTTGTGCAGAGTGATCGAGCAGGGACGGCAGACGGCGGACGGCGGATGGTGGACGGCGGACAGCGGACAGCGGACGGCGATGTATGGCAGCAGCTACGGCGGACAGCGGACGGCGAACAACAGCCAGGCTAGAGGGCGGACCACAACACTTTGCTGTAATGTGTGTATTGAATATATGCGACACCAACAAAATCACCTTCTTCCCACCTCAAAGGCATGGTTGTTGTGGTCATGTCCACCTCGCGATGTGCTTCTCTCTCGTTCCCACCTCGAGGTGTTCCCAAGGTGGACTTGAAGATGGTGTGTTCGATCTTCTGTCCACCTAGGTGCACCCGAGGTGGACTTGAAGATGGCACGTTCCGTCTTCTGTCCACCTAGGTGCACCCGAGGTGGACGGGAGTGATGGAATGTTCCATCTTTTGCCCACCAAGGCGAGCTGGTTCGTCTCTGGGTCACCTTTTTGGGCGGGAAAGGTGGAATCGCCTGTCTTGGTGGCCAAAACCAGCTTTCGCCCATCTACCATCCTGGCAGTGGATGGTTAGTCAAAGAGCCGTCGGGACAAAGCTGGTGGAGCGCCACCGGCTCACCTCTGATTCGATATGGGCTGTAGGCGAGTACAGGATGACAGCAAACGGGCGGCCAAAGTGTTGGGCGGCAGTGACCCGAATCTGCGGTCACTTCAGTGAGTTTGACTCTTGCTCAACGCCCATTCCATGTGAGTGAAACCCACCTCCATGAAGGTGTGGTCCTCGAGCACAGCCGTGATGATCTCGCTCGTGTTGCCGTTGAAGAGCGCGCACTTGTGATCTTTGAACCTCCCTGTCTGGGGCTGCCAGACAGAGCACACTCAGTGACGGTTCAGAGGAGCGGAGGCCGGAGGAGGGTACCCTGTGGTGTTGAGCCGAACAATTTCGTATGACCACCTCGGTCGAGTTGTACTGCCGGCAGCTCAAGTCCGTCACACTGCCAACACAACAAAGGCCACAAGTCGGTCGCATTGCAACCACAAAGGAAGAAATCGCAATGTGCATACAAACTGCCGTTGTTGGTTCTCGACATTGGACACACCAGAGCCGCGGGGAAGTCCAGCTCTCGCTCAAACAGCACACCTGCTGCCCTGCACGCCACTAGGTCGATGCTAGCTCTGCGGCGAGGGGAAGGAAGCTGCATGAGAGGAATTGAACCAGTCCGGATTCGTGTAGGAGAGGTAGCTGAGTAGATCTGGTAGCTGGCATACGTGAGTACACACAGGAGCGCCAACAGCCAGAGCACCTGCGGCTGTGGTGTGAGCCAAGTCTCATTCTCAAGTGAGCCAAGCAGCAGTGTACCTTGCTAAACCAACTGGCGCTGCCCTGGTCGGCAGTGGTCTGAGCCACATACATGATGTCGCCCACCGTGTAGCCCACCGTCCACATGAACATCTTTGCAGGTCGGCCTCCAGCACGCGCCTGAAGAGACACAACAAAGAGTTTTCGGAAACAGTTTTTTCTTTTGTTTTCTCTCTTTCTCTGTCTTCCTCTGTACGACCATGTGGCTGGTGACGGCGTGGCTGGGCGAGTCGCCCCTTCTGGCTTTTGTTCTATGCAGCGCCGTGGGAGCCATTTCATACCTCGTCTACATCGTATGTGCCTTCCCCCACGCTTTTTACTCTCTCCTTTTATTTAATGCATCATAAATTTTCGATTAATATAATAATATTACATTTAATATTGCAGTTGCACTTGGAGCCACGACGTCGGTATGGCGGAGCGATGGCACAGTTCCCTGGCCCGAAACCGCACCCGGTGCTCGGCCACAACCTCCTGGAGATGCAGGGAGCCGGTGAAGAGGTATCCACTGCATTTACCTCTGCCTCTCGGACTGTATGGCCTTGGCTGACCCGCTTCGTGGCGTGCCTCAGGGCAGGATTCTGGAGAAGATTCAGGAATGGCGAGACAAGTATGGCCCGGTCTTCCGCGTGTGGTACGAAAGGTGCAGACACCCTCGCATTCAGACACGCATGTCGCATGCGACATATCTGATGTCGTTGGCTTTGGCGGCTAGCACCACCCCGACCCTGTTCCTCACGGACCCTGAACTGGTGAAGAATCTGCTCAATGGCCAGACTGACGTCAACTACTACTCCAAGGCACGACGACGATCACCTTCAATCATCACTACTGTTAATAATTCTTGAGGAACGAGTGTGCACCGTTCGCTCACCGCGTGATCGTTCCTTCCTCCAGGGCTACGACAAGGAATTCAAGCCGTTCCTCGGGAACAGCATTCTGCTCAGCTATGGCGATGTGTGGCGGCGAAAGAGGTATGCCTTCTCTCTCTCTCTCTCTGTGCGTGTGTGCGTGTGCGTGTGCGTGTGCGTGTGCGTGTGCAGGCGTCATTTCCTGGCTGATATCGCACACAACACAGACGCTTGATGTCGCCGGCATTCTATTCGAAGAACCTGCATGCGCTCTACCCAATCTTCGCCTCCGCAGCGGAGCGATTGGTGGAGCGGTGGAAGCGCAACATCCACTCGGCCGAAAGCAAAGAGAATGGCGCGGGCGCACAATTCCGCATCGAAGACCTCAGCCTCGAACTGAAGAAGGCACAAACGTTTGGATTCATTTCACGCGCCTCACGTTGATGATATGTGCTGATCACTGTCGCGCTCCAGACATCGCTCGACGTGATCGGACTGTCCGCGTTCGGCTTCGGCTTCAACCCGGAAGGCGACTCGGAGAGCGACGACGTCGTGGAAGCGTTCGAGTACGTTCTGTCAGCCATCGAGCAGAGGTACCCGGCCTGAATCCCTTTCATGCCCATTTGTCATCACCTCACCTCACCTTCTCTTTCTCTCGCTTTTTTTGAAGATCGTACGACTTCGTTTCGCTGCCCAATTGGGTCTACTGTCACTGCACCGCCGCAGGTACCACCTCTTTCCCGTTAACCACCACCACCACCACCACCACCACCACCACCACCACCACCACCACCACCACCACCACCACCACCTGACCGACACTGGTACACGACCGCTAGGGCGCAAGTTCACGGCCAACATCCAGAAGCTGCGGACACTGGTATACGGCATTATCGACAAGCGGCGCAAACAGATGGCGCAGAGGGGTGCCGGCATGCGACGTCAGCCCAGCGGTCTGCGCGTCGACGGTCTGCCGACCGACGTCGGGGCCGACCAGCCCGAGGAGCCTCGCGAGAAGGACCTGCTGGACCTTCTGCTCGAGGCCAAGGACGACGAGGGCGACGGCGAGGGCTTCAGCAACCAGCAGATCATGGAGGAGGTCATGACCATCATGGTACACACCGTGGCCACGCTCGTCTCGGTCGATGCTGGATTGGCGCTGACTGTGGTACATTTGCATTTGCTGCGATACAGTTTGCCGGTCACGAGACCACGAGCATCGCGTTGTCGTGGACGCTTTACCTGCTGGCGCAGCACGCGCAGGTGGAGGACAAGCTGGTGCAAGAGCTGGTTCAGGTGATGAGCGAGCGCACTGTCCCTGCAGCCGATGAGCTCCCCAAGCTGCAGTACCTGGACATGGTCCTCTCGGAGGTAGACCTCGCCTCCGGCCCTCAGTGCGCTGTAGGCACTCAATAGCAATTATAACAACTATTTATTATATTAATAACGATAAAACAATAATAAATAAATAAATAAATAAAACTGCTAACGGTTTAAGTGCGCAGGCCATGCGACTCTACCCGCCGCAGCCAGGGTTCGTGCGTCGCGCCCTGCAGGACAATCACATCGGCCAGTACTTCATTCCTCAGGGCGTACGTCGGCAACTCTTCCACGCGTTGATTCGTTGATTTGATGGTTCGTTGGCTGGACGTCGTTTGGTGTTGACGCGAAATTGTGCTGCTGTGCCCAGACCGAGGTCACTGTGGTGCCATACCTGATCCACAGGGATCCGTCCCTGTGGCCCGAGCCGCAGCGATTTGACCCGGAGAGGTTCACCAAGGAGAACTCCAAGGCCAGGCACGCCTTTGCCTACCTTCCCTTCAGCGGCGGACTCAGAAGGTACCGTGTGCTGTTTTACCGTTTGTGTAGTGTGTGTGTCGTGTGTCGTGTGTCGTGTGTCGTGTGTCGTGTGTGCGGTTGCCAACTGCGACTAAATCCAACGCAAAACAGCTGCGTTGGTCGTAACTTTGCGATGATGGAAGCTCGCGTCCTGCTCGCTGCCATCGTGCGCCACTTTGAAGGTACCTTTGACATTCCGGGCGGGGAGGATTCCTTGATGAGGGACGTCTCTTAAGAGTCAAATACTAACCATTTGGTATGTAACGCCCTCTTTTTGCCTTTCAGTGCGCCTTGTCGAGGGAGCGCGCGTGGTGGCTGTTCCCGCCGTGACGCTGCGCCCGCACGGCATGCAAGTCGCCATCACCAACCGCGCTTGACCAGCGCCTGCTTGTCGTTCCGAGAAAGAAAAGTCTCGGAAAAAGAAATAAAAGAAATAAAACAGACAATAAACAAAAATAATCAAACCAGCAAGGAGAGCAAGATTGGAGCAAGAAGATGGGAAAGAGTGGAGGCTTCCTGACGCCCAAGGCCATTGCCAACCGCATCAAGGCGAAGGGCCTCCAGAAGTTGCGATGGTATTGCCAGATGTGCGAAAAGCAGTGCCGTGATGAGAACGGATTCAAGGTACATCTCCCCCCCCCTTACACCTGCATCTGCCTCCTTTCAAGCGACGCGTGCTCACCCGTTTCTCGTGGCCTCTCGTAGTGTCACACAAGTTCGGAATCGCACCAGCGCCAGATGGCCATTTTCTCAGACAATCCCAACAAGTTCCTCGATGAATTTTCGGTTGAGTTCGAGGACAGCTTCATCCGGCATCTTCGGCACAGGTACCCATTCATTCTAATTTGATTCAATAATGATTGAGTTTTGTTTCTTAATTTATATATTTATTGTGTTTTGATCATAGGCACGGCACGAAGAGGGTGCATGCCAACCTGGTCTACGCCGAGCTGATTCGGGACCGCAACCACTTGCACATGAACGCCACCAAGTGGACCTCGCTCACCGAGTTCGTCAAGTACCTCGGACGCACTGGCAAGGCCACCGTCGACGAGACTCCCAAAGGTTTGTTCATACTTTTTCTCGTATGTGCGTGTGCGGTGGCGTGTGTGCGTGTGCGTGTGCGGTCATGTGTCGTGTGTGCGATTGACTGATGCACGATGACCCCAATGCAGGCTGGTTCCTGGCGTACATCGACCGCGACCCCGAGACCCTCGCGCGGCAGAAGGCCCTCGAACGGCGCAAGAAGTCCGACATCGACGAGGAGGAGCGTGAGCGCCTCCGGATCGAGAAGCAGCTCGAGGAGGCCCGCCGGCAGCGCGAGGCTCTCGGTCTCACGGCCGACGCCGACGCCGGCCATGACGAGCCCGGCGAGAAGGAGTCGGCCGACGGCAGCGAAGCCGACGGCGGTGGCGTCAAGCTCGAGGGCGTGAAGATCGCGTTCTCGCTGGCGGCCTTAAGAAGCAGCCGCTGACGCTCGGCAAGACCGAAGAGAAGCCCCATGACGACGATGAGAAGGGCCACAAGATGGACGAGGCCGAGGCCGACCGCGAAGCGCGAAAGCGGAAGCCCGACGACGTGTCCGCGGACCGCGAACACGGCGAGCGGGACCGAGACCGAGACACGACGAGGCCGGGAGGACGAGGAACGCGACTCCAAGCGTGCGCGCTCCAGTCGATGGGACAAGGCGGCCTCGTCGACGTCCACGTCATCATCATCGTCATCAACGACATCATCGTCAACGTCGACATCGGACAGGCGGCCGCAGCCGTCGCGACCCCTGACGGCCGTGGAGGAGATCATGCTCCAGGAGGAGAAGCGCAAGCAGCGCGAACGCGAACGACTCGAAAAGGAGAAGAAAGAAAGAGAAATGGAAATGGAGAAAGAGAGAAAGGAGACGACGAAGAGAACAAAGGCGACGACGACGACGACGAAGACGGACTACTGGCTGGCCGACGGCATCGTGGTCAAGGTCAAGCACAAGACGGTGGGCGGCGGCAAGTACTACAACCAGAAGGGCGTGATCGAGCAGGTCGAGGGCCGGTACGTGGGCCAGATCAAGATGCTCCAATCGGGCGACGTGCTGCGGCTCGACCAGGACTTCCTCGAAACGGTGCTGCCGGCGCTCGAGGGCCGGGTGCTGGTGCTGAACGGCGCGCATCGGGGCGAGCGGGCGACGCTCAAGGCGATCGACGTCGACAAGTTCTGCGCCACCATCCAGTTGAGCAGCAGTGGCGAGCTGGTCAAGGGCATCGCCTACGAGGACATCGCCAAGCTGGCCTGATTTCTCTCTGTTTCCACCCATTTACGAGCAGAACGAAAAAGATGATTTAAAATGTAGTTA